CAGACTTTGCAAGGTGTTGATGGGGCGAGTAAGGGGAGTAGTGGTGTGTATATGCCGCCTTCAGCTCGGTTGGGTGTGGGGGGGCCTTCTGCTACTGCTTCTGATCGACCATTTCCTACTGTGGAAAAGGTTGCTGTCTTGAGGGGTGAGGATTTTCCTTCCCTGCAGGCTTCTCTGCCTGTATCGACTGGGCCTGCGCAAAAACAGAAGGAAGGTTTGAATCAGAAACAGAAGCAAGTGGCAAGTGAAGAGTCATTTAATGAGCAGAGGGATGGTCATCGTCTGAACTCACTTGTTGACATGCGACCACAATTGCAATCTGGACGATATAGTATTAGAAGTGGCTTTGGTGAGAATGCTGGTGAAAGTCATGGTTCTGATGGTTCTCGTGGATCGGCCCAAGCTAGGAAGCAGGAGGAGTATTTTCCTGGGCCATTCCCCCTGGTTCGTTTGAATCCCAGGTCTGATTGGGCTGATGATGAGCGTGACACTGGTCACGGCTTGACGGACAAGGGAAGAGACCATGGATATTCAAAGAATGAAGCTTTTTGGGATGGAGATTTTGATATGCCTAGAGCTAGTATTTTGCCACACAAACCAGCTCATAATCTTCCTGAAAAGCGGTCCCAGCGTGACAATGAAACTGGAAAAATTTCTTCCAGTGAAGTCAGTAAAGCAGACCTTCACACTAGAGATATAAGAACACCAAGTGAAGGACGGGAGGGGAACTCATGGAGAGCTTCTTCTCCCATTCCAAGAGATAGATTCAGTGCTCAAGAGGTTGGCAATGACAGAAATGGCATAGGTGCAAGGTCTCCTAGCACACACAGGGAACCAATCAGGCAAACTAGATACACTCCATCACCTTTTCGGGACAATATTCATGATGATTTCGGAAAAAGGGACATGGTTTATGGGCATGAAGGGAGACAGCCTTGGACTAACACGGCCGATTCATTTAGCAGCCGAGGAGCCGACCGAAATGCAAGAGATCGATATAGTGGCGAACAAAACAACAGGTACAGAGTTGATGCTTCCCAGAACAGCTCTATGCCCAAATCATCATTTTCATTTGGTGGTAAGGGGCTTTCAGTTAATGATCCCATACTCAGTCTTGGTAGGGAGAAACGCTCTTTATCTAAGAGTGAGAAGCCTTATTTTGTGGATCACTTTATGAAGGACTTGGGGTTTAGTGGTTTTGATGGACGAGATCCATTTTCTGGGAGTCTTGTTGGAGTGGTTAAGAAGAAGAAAGATGTGCTTAAGCAGTCTGATTTCCACGATCCTGTTAGAGAATCATTTGAGGCTGAGCTTGAAAGAGTACAGAAGATGCAGGAAGAGGAGCGACAGCGGATAATTGAAGAGCAGGAAAAAGCTCTGGAGCTAGCTCGCAGAGAAGAAGAGGAGAAACTGCGGTTGGCACGGGAACAAGAAGAGCGACAAAGGAGGCTAGAAGAAGAAGCCAGAGAAGCTGCATGGAGAGCTGAGCAAGAACGATTGGAAGCCATAAGGAAGGCAGAACAACAGAGAATAGCTAGAGAAGAAGAGAAATGCAGAATTCTTATAGAGGAAGAGAGGAGGAAGCAGGCTGCTAAGCAAAAGCTTTTAGAACTGGAAGAAAGGATTGCTAAGAGGCAGGCTGAAGCGGCAAAGGGTGGCAGTAACTCTTCTGCTTCTGTGGATGAGAAAATTTCAGGGTTGGTGAATGAAAGAGACACTTCAAAAGTGGCAGATGTGGGTGAATGGGAAGATGGTGAAAGGATGGTGGAGAGAATTACCACTTCAGCATCGTCTGATTCCTCTACCCTGAATAGATCCTTTGATATAAGTTCTAGGCACCAGTTTCCAAGAGATGGTTCTTCCGCTTTCCTGGATAGAGGAAAGTCTGTTAGTTCATGGAGACGGGATGCATTTGAGAATGCAAACAACTCAAACTTCATTGGGCAAGATCCAGAGAATGGTCACCATAATCTTCAGCGAGATGCATCTGTTGGGAGCAGAATATTTAGTAGGAAAGAGTTCTACGGAACAACTGGATTTGCATCTTCTAGGTCTTACTATAAAGCAGGGTTTCCTGAGCATATAGATGAATTTTCTCATCTTAGAGGTCAGAGATGGAACATTTCTGGTGACGGCGATCAATATATCAGGAATTTTGAGATTGAATCTGAATATCATGAGAATCTGGCTGAACAGTATGGTGATATGGGATGGGGACAGGGCCAAGGTCGTCCTCGAGTTAATCCATATTCTCCATATGCTGAAAGACTGTACCAGAACTCTGAGGGAGATGGGTATTATTCTTTTGGGAGACCAAGGTATTCAGTAAGGCAGCCTCGTGTACCTCCCCCACCGTCCCTGGCTTCCATGCAGAAAGCCTCCTACAGGGGTGAGACTGAGCGTCCTGGTCCGTCAGCCTTCCTAGACGCTGAGATGCAGTATGACCATTCAGCAGGGAGTGAATCTATCGTACAGACAGGTCATGATAGTGGTCGTCAGGATAATGTTGGTCAGCCTGGAATAGTAGATGTGCAGGAGAATAATAAGATTCAGGAGCAGAAACTTGATAGGAATCCTGCTGCAAGGTGTGACTCACAATCTTCACTATCTGTTTCAAGCCCACCTAATTCTCCAATTCATCTTTCTCATGATGATTTGGATGAGTCTGGAGATTCTCCTGTGTTATCTGCTGCTGGGGAACGAAAAGATGATACATTAGCAGGGCAGGGTAGTGAGCCTGATGTTTTACCCACAGAAGTTGGCAATGAGAATATTATAGGTGCTTCAGGTTCTATTTCTTCCGGTGATGACGAGGAATGGTCTCTCGATGACAATGAACAGTTGCAGGAGCAAGAAGAATATGATGAGGATGAAGAAGCGTATCAGGAAGAAGATGAAGTGCATGATGGTGATGATGAGAATATTGATCTAACCCAGGAGTTTGAAGAAATGCATCTCAATGAGAAAGGATCACCCCACTTGATTGATAACCTGGTCTTGGGCTTCAATGAAGGTGTTCAGGTTGGGATGCCAAAAGATGAGTTTGAGAGAAGTTCAAGAAATGAAGAAACTGGGTTTGTGGTTCCCCATCTTTCTGCTGGCAGCGGAGAAGGACAGGGATCTTTGAGGGTATAAGCAGTGATGGTCAAACCTTCAATCCATCGACATCCCTTCCCAAGTGAGCGCTGAGAGTTCTTCAAGGATCTTCCAGGAAACTGAGAATTCTATCGAGGATTTGGTTATTCAAATTAATAATGCTCCGCAATTGTCAACAACCTCTGAGCTGGCAAATAATGTGGATGCTTCTAATAGCTCTGCTCTATCTACTCAACATATGATTCCATCTTCTGCTGTTCAAAGTCAAACTGAGGTGCCCGTTAAGCTTCAGTTCGGGTTATTCTCTGGCCCTTCTTTGATACCATCTCCTATTCCAGCCATACAAATTGGTTCTATACAGATGCCTCTTCATCTACATCCTCAGGTTGGCCAGTCACTGACCCACATGCACAGATCACAGCCTCCCATCTTCCAGTTAGGTCAGTTGACGTATACATCTTCTATTTCCCAAGGAGTATTGCCATTGCCTCCGCAATCTATGTCTTTTGTCCCGCCAAATATTCCATCCAGTTTTTCTTTGAACCAGAACCATGGAGTATCTCTGCCTATTCAGCCTGCTCAAGAAACTTTGACTAATAATCTGGTAAGAAATGATGCTCTTCCAATTTCGGATAATCAAGCCAGCATCATACCAAGGTCTTTGGATCATTCCCATGAGAATATATCAAAAGAGATAAATCCATTGCCTGCCAGAGAAAAGGCAGAGACAGTTACAATGCAACAGAGTCAAGCTGAAATTTCTAATAGTAATGACAAAAATATACAATTTGACTCCAGTTTCCAGGGAGAGAGTCAGGTGCACCAGAATTTGGCTGGGAGGAACTTCAAATCGTTGTCTACTAGAGAATCAGAAAGCTCCCTTCAAAGTATTGCAGTGTCATCTCAGTCGGTTTCAAAAGGAAAAGATACCAACAGGCCAAAGTCTCAGGGCCAAGTATATGGTGGTAGAGGCAAGAGATATGTTTTTACGGCAAAGAGTTCTAGCTCAAGATCGTCAAATGTTCAATCTGATAATTCTCATTCTGAATCTAATGGTTACCAGAGGAGACATCGGCGACAGCGAACAGAATTTAGAGTTCGGGACACCCAAGAGAAGAGGCAACAGCTTTCGTCCAACCAACTTGTTGTGGATGATAAATTAAATTCAAGTGGAAGGGGAACAGAATCATCCATGAGAAACATGGCTAGGAAGGTTGTCTTACCAAATAAGTCATTGAAATCAATAGCTGAATCAGACGGATCAGGTTCTGGTCCAGTTAGCTTACAGGAAATGGATTCTGGAAGCAAGCTTGAAAAGGGAACTGGCAGAGAATCATTGGTAAAGAGTCAGAACATTTCTAACTCGGGTGAGGTTAACCTTAAGAGGAATCTTCATTCTGAAGAGGATGTCGATGCTCCGTTACAAAGTGGGGTAGTGCGTATTTTTGAGCAACCTGGTATAGAGGCTCCCAGTGATGAGGATGACTTCATTGAGGTAAGGTCAAAAAGGCAAATGTTAAATGATCGCCGTGAACAGAGGGAAAAAGAAATCAAGGCTAAGTCTCGGGTCACTAAGGTTCTGGTGCCTTTCAAACTTTAATCTCTTGCTGTGCTTTCTATTGCATTTTAGAATACGTCATTAACACTTTTTATATTTTTACCAGATTCCACGAAAGCCCCGCTCAAGGTCACAAAGTGCTGCTGTCTCAGCGAGTTCAAATAAAATTTCCACATCTTTGGGTGGAGAAGCAGCAAACAGCAACATACAGACTGATTTTGTTACTGCTGAAAGGCAGAATGTAGCAAACAAAGAAGCATCCACAGGATTTACTACCCCTATAGTATCACAACCATTGGCACCAATTGGCACTCCTGCTGTGAAGGCTGATGTCAAGGCAGATATGAGATCCCAGTCAGTCAAGTATGTTCTGTTGCTTGATGAAGTTTCACATTTCCAAAATATCTGCATATCAATATGTAAATGCTATCATTTTTTTTTCTACAGGTCCATTCAATTGAGCTCCCTCCCAGCTGTGTCAGGTGGTGGGAAGAATCTTGCTTCAAGTTTCATATTTGAGACTAAGAACAAAGTACTTGATAATGTTCAGACTTCTTTGGGGTCTTGGAGTAATCAACGGATTAATCAACAGGTGAGTCAAATTGTTTACCATACACCAACTTTTAATGTTGGAGTATCTGCTACTTCTATGCAACTACTTTTCCTCTCCTTGTATGGCATGAATCTGATCTGTCTTACCAAGGCATTTCTCATGTGAGTCTGGTTTCTACTCATGTTGCTGCCTTACGTGCACTTACATGTGGGGCTTCTGTCAAGCTTAGTAGGTTATTGATATGATTTAAAGGTTTTAGTGTGGATTGTTGGCCTTTGTTCTCCTTTCTATTTTTCTTAATAGTTTTGGTTTAGGCATAGTATTCCCAGCATCTATATGTTAGCAAATGCATACATATACTTTGCTGGGTAGACTGATATCGCCTCAGCTTGCATTCAATTATTTATATGAGGTCAGGTGGGCTTTGCAAATCCTTGTTGCTTAGATGTGCTTATGTTGCGCATTGATGAGTTTGTGGAGTATGCAGAGCTGCTAAATCTTGTGCCTATGGCTATTAGTTCATTTATGTTAGTTTCTTCATGTCTTCTTATGTTCTGTCAGTAAATTTGTATGAATCCGAAAGACTGTTGGTTATATTTGGTAGGTTATGGCACTTACACAAACCCAACTTGATGAGGCTATGAAACCTGTACAATTTGATTCTCGTGCTACTGTTGGAGATCACCCTACCTCAGTTAATGAAGCTAGCATGCCATCATCATCTATCTTGCCAAAGGACAAGTCATTTTCATCTGCTACAAGCCCAGTAAACTCGTTGCTTGCTGGAGAGAAAATTCAATTTGGTGGGCATATATATTCTTTCCATTTAATTTAAGAGATTCTTAGAGTCTCAGAAGGTCTAGGTATTAGAGGGATTTGCTTGTCTTTATTAATGTGCAACTAAATCTATTGCCATTTTTTGTGTATTTCAGGCGCTGTGACATCTCCAACCATTCTTCCTCATTGCAGTCGTGCTGTTTCACATGGTATAGGTCCTCCAGGTCCTTGTCGGCCAGACCTTCAAATTTCCCGTACTCACTCTGCTGCTGAAAATGACTGCTCTCTTTTCTTTGAGAAAGAGAAATGCTCCAGTGAGCCTTATGTTCCAATGGAAGATTGTGAAGCAGAAGCAGAAGCAGCTGCTTCAGCTGTAGCTGTTGCAGCTATAACAAGTGATGATATTGCTGGGAATGGAATGGGTGTTTTATCCACCTCAGTTGCAGATACCAAAAGTTTCGGAGGTGCAGATTTAGATGGTATGGCACCTGGTGAAACAAACTTTTTGTTGCCATACTAGTGAGTTTTACATCTTTTTATATTGATATTTATGTGGTGCATACCATGTTCAGATGATTTTATCCACTTTTGCAGGTGTAGCTGGTGACCAAGCTAATCAGTCAAGGGCTGAAGAGCCTCTTAGTGTAGCCCTTCCAGCAGACCTTTCTGTTGAGACACCCCCAATTTCCTTATGGCAACCTTTGCCAAGTCCCCAGAATTCTCCTAGCCAGATGATTTCTCATTTTCCTGGAGGCCCACCTTCCCATTTCCCCTTTTACGAGATGAATCCCATGTTGGGGGGCCCAATCTTTGCATTCGGGCCTCATGATGAGTCGTCGTCTACCCAATCACAACCCCAGAAGAGTAGTGCAGCAGTTTCAGGTCCACTTGGTGCCTGGCAACAGTGTCATTCTGGTGTAGATTCATTTTATGGCCCTCCAGCAGGATTCACTGGTCCTTTCATCAGTCCGCCTGGAAGTATTCCCGGGGTTCAAGGACCTCCACACATGGTTGTCTATAACCATTTTGCACCAGTTGGACAGTTTGGACAAGTTGGCTTGAGCTTCATGGGTACAGCTTATATTCCATCTGGAAAGCAGCCTGATTGGAAGCACAACCCTGTGTCTTCTGCCATGGGTGGTGGTGAAGGAGACAATCACAGTTTGAATATCACTTCGAACCCCGCGAAACCCTACCAACATGCCTACTCCAGTACAACATCTTGCTCCTGGGTCTCCTCTCCTGCCAATAGCATCACCTCTGGCCGTGTTTGATATGTCCCCATTCCAGGTAAATATTTGAGTGTTGAACTCGAAATGTCAAGCTTACTTGATTACCAAATTGTGGTCATTGTGTTCTCTTTTTGTTTACCAGTGGGGGCTTATTAACTAATATCTTCATTGTGGGTTTTGGGACTTCTTTAAACACCTTACCAGGAAATTTTGCACGCCACAAGCATACCGGTATATTTGCATGAACCATGCTAGAAACTAGTATTACAAATGTGAAACTAAATGTTGTATGCCAGTGACATGTTTATAGGAGACCACCCTTTGTTTTTATCTTTTGTTGTGGGGGCAGTGGAGAAAAGTTTGAAAGAAAGCACCCTATGGCTCAGATCTCATGTTTATCTATAGCTAATTGAAAAGTTTACAAAGCAAAGAATTCATTGGAAGGAGAACATGTAATATGTTTACTGTCTTTTCCTCTCCCTTTCTTCTTCCTTCCTCTGATAAAATGGTGTCAGGTGAAGCACTTTCTTGTGCCTTGTGAGGTTGGCTAGTTGGGATGTAAGTAGAGAATGAGGATTTTATGAGTTCAGATTTAAATAATCCTTTCTGAGACATTGATGCCTTGTCAGGTAGAACATCAAAGTTAAGAATCTTGTCAAAATTTAATAGTTAGTGAGGCTGTCCATTCTTTTTTTGCTTTAAAGTTCATATAGCTCTCAGTCAAAGGATTTCGAGCTCGTACTTTTTTTAAATTCAAAAAATATGTAGATTATCTATTTTTTTTTTGGGGGGGGGCTATTAAACTTTTAAAAAATTATTAAGTGTTTGATAAGTCATGAGTTTTAAGTTAAATTCTTAGTTAAATGACTAAAAAGGACAGTTACTTGCTTTTTTAATTCAAATTATCTTTGTAATTTTTTACACCAAAGAAAGCTTAAAATAATTATAATCTTTATTAGCTTAAGAATTCCAACTTTTTCACATATTTGTTGAGATACTTAATCAAATTTACTTAAGGTATTTAATTAAATTTTATATTTATTAGATATTTAATTGAATTTGCCATAAAAAACTATATTATATTTTGTTAATTGTCATTTTTAATTTGGCTGCAGCCCCCAATTTTTTTTTTTTTTTTTAATAATTTTCTGGGAAGAGGAAGCTAGGAGAAGTTTTTGTTGGATTATGCTCGGAACTTAGTATTTTCAGAAGCGCTGTATTAGTTAGAAGAATTTGGTCAAAGGTTCTTAAAGTTACTTGCTAAAAAGCTCCCCCAAAAGAAAAAGAGCTCCTAGGACCACCTTCTTTTCCTGGGGCTAAAAGCTCGAGCTTTTAGCACCTTGACACACATCTTATGGCTTCTTTTGTAGCCAGAAACGGCTTTAAGCACCTTTAACCACACAAAAAAAAAGCCAATTTAAAAACCCTTTATGTAGCATTTAATTTCGAGAAGGTTCTCTCCTCCCATTCATAAACTCCTTTATTCTATATTAAGTTAGAGAAAAAGTGTAAGAAAGCTTACTCTAATAAATGATGAACTTTTATACACCTGAGTCACTTAAATTTAGTTCTACAACATCACTGATACTTGAAGTTGAAATTCTGGTGTAGTCCTCTCCTGATATGTCAGTCCAAGCACGTTGGTCGCATATTCCTGCCTCATCCCTTCAGTCTGTTCCTCTATCAATGCCATTGCAGCAGCCCACGGAAGGTGTACTTTCATCTCAGTTCAACCATGTGCCACCTGTTGATCAATCATTAACTGCCAGCAGATTTCCTGAGACCAGAACATCCACACCTTCTGAAAGCAGCAGGAATTTTCCACTGGTGACTGATGCCACTGTCACCCAGTTGCCTGATGAACTAGGGTTGGTAGACCCTTCAAGCTCCACAAATTCTGGGCTGCCAGGACAAGGTGTTGTTCCTAAGAACTCTTCCTTAAGCGCACTCGTCAATGCTAGCAAGACTGATGTCGCTGCTCACAACGGCAGTGGTAACAGTACTGGCCAACACACAGGTTCCACTTTTAAATCTCAGGCTCAGCAGAAGAATATATCTATACACCAATATAGCAATTCAACAGGGTATAATCATCAGAGAGCTGGTGGGGCATCACAGAAGAGTAGTTCCGGGGGAGAATGGCCTTATCGGAGAACAGGATTCCAAGGCAGGAATCCGTCCATGGGTGGGGAGAAGAGTTTTCCAGCTATGAAGATGAAGCAGATTTATGTGGCTAAACAGACTTCAACTGCTACATCGACTCCGTCGTGATTGTAAGAAAATTTCTTTCTTGGACTACATGTGAAGAAAGGATCAAAGAGTAGTTCATCAGAATGAATCTGCTTCCTATTTTTGAGAGAGCATCCGTCGAAATAACAGTGAGTGGTGAGTCTCATAGTTTTGGATATTTACCATTATTATTCGTTAAAAGTAGGTTAAGGTGATTTTCGTAGTGGAACTTGCGAAGCTGGTTGATTGTAGTGGTTTTGGGTCTTTCAGTTGGAGTTTTTCACAAGGAATGGGGCTTACTGTGATTAGCTGGGCTGGTAGATACTGCTTTTTTGTTCTTTTTCAGAGTGTTCGGTAATGATCGGTTGTCCTCCGTTTAATCATTTTGTTTTGGTATGTTCTCAGCTGCAAACCAAATAGCTGATCCCTGGGATTATTGTAGTAAGGTTCATTACTCATCCCATCAAATATTTTTTCCTCCATTTGGTAATTATATATGGGCTTTGGGGAGTGTTATTGATTCCCATTGTCATTTCATTTCCCTTTTCCAAATATTTTCTTTATAGTCTGTAAGAAGCAATTCCACTGTTTTCTCGTCTCACCTATTTGGCGAGTAAAAAGTTTGAATGACCTACGAATTAAATCTTTATTTTTGAACTGTAGATTAGGTTAACTGTGGAAGAAAATGGTAACAAGGGTCTAACCTGAGGCCATGAATGTTGATGGAATCTGCATATAATTGCAGCTTGCAAGCCTTGCAGGGTCTGGTTGGTTGTATTTGAAGCTTACACGAGTCACCGAGGTTATTAGTTGTTAAATATTGTATAGGCGGATATAATTTATTTGTATTTTTTATTAAACATATCTGTTATAAATTGTCAGACAAAATATTTTTTAAAGACATAATATAATTTTTAAGGATCTATAAACTCGGGAAAAAAAATACATGCTGAAACATGGAAGTACTCCTATCTCGTGCTCTACATAAATTTTTACTTACAAAAAAAAAAAAAAAAAAAAAAAAGATAAATATTTGAATTAATACAAAATTATACCAAGGCCAACACAATTATTCTTATATGAAAATGCTTATGAGTATTATTGCTATTGATTAAAATTAATTTTAAAAAATAAAAAAAAAATTCTTAATTTTTAGGAAATAAGTTATCACCAATAAAGAATGAACTGAATAAATCGCTAACACTTATTATCTTAATAACAAAATAATTTTTCTAAAAGGAATTCACCCAAACTACCAGACTCTGCTAGATTAATTTTACTGTATTTAATTTTAATAATGTACTTTTGAGACTTTGAGTTGTTGTTGAATTCACTGGCCCGTCTCCTCCATCAACTTTCTGATTACTTCCTCGGAGAATATGGCACCTAGCCCAAAATCATCATCTTCATCCTTAACACCCTGACGGCTACTGCTCTCCCCCTCTCTCGTTCCCGCAGCCTCAACGCTCACTGCCCTCTGAAGCTCAGGCTCAGCCCGAGCAGGGAGTTGTTGCTCCTGCGAGTAATCGGCGAATGGGAAATTGATCTTGGCTTTAAATCCGCGGAACTCAATGGCGGCCCTGTCATAAGCTCTGGCGGCCTCCTCCGGCGTATCAAAAGTACCGAGCCAGACGCGTTGTCCCCGTCGTGGGTCTCTTGTCTCGGCTGCCCATTTACCCCAAGGTCTGTGCCTTACTCCTCTGTACTTCTTCTTCTGATCTTCCTCCTCCTGCTGGCAGGAGTCAGTACCCGCAGTATGGAGCACGGGATCAAAGCTGGTCGAAGCGTCTAAGGGAAGAGCAACGATATCGTCAGGGGGATCGCGTTGCATGGAGGAGTCATGAGTAGCATTGCCACTGATGACGTGGAGGAGAGCGGAGACAATAATCTGGTTCTCTGTGTCTCTGGTAAGTTGACGAGTTGCAGAGGGGGTGGGTAGCCGGTTACGCTTTCGTTCGGGGCCAGGTTTAGGGCAATGAGCCATTTTCAGCGATGAAGGTGGAAGGATGGGGATGAGGTTTATATACCTAACGGAGGGAGGAGATCCACGTGTCTGCCAGCTGTACACAGCACGCTATTTTCATCGTTCATATTTCACTCGGACGAATATGAGATGGAAGGTTATGTCAGCAGCACGGACGCGGCCGCGACCTTTCTCTACAGCCGATTGTTTGTTTTTTGGCTTCTACTGCCACAAATAATATTTGTTCAAATTTCTCTCACTCCCTATATTAATTATTAAACATTTTCTTCAGTAAATTTATAAAATTATTTATTTTGTATTATATTTTTAATAAAATTGGTCAATTAAATTTTTTTTTTTTTTTTTTTTTTTTAACTCTAAATTTTATAGTTTGTATCAGTAAAATTATATAAAATTTATTTAACAAAATTATTTACAGTGACTTCAAATTGGACGGCAGGTAGAAGACAAATTTCTAACACGTCCACGTGGGCAAGGACAAATAATCATTTTCAACGGCTCAAGAACGAGTCCAGCTTATTCAGGGCCCACTCACAGTTTCTCATATATAAAATCAAGATTTATTACTTTTAATAAATTATATATTATATTATATTATTTTATAAGAAAAAGTATATATGCATATCTTGTATCGTTTAGAAGAATTAGTTTACACTAAAATATTCAGTTTTCATGAGAATACAATAAATATATCATTTTAGTATTTGTTATTAACATTGCAAGAAAATTAAAGAGTAAAGTTGAGATTTTCTTTAAAATAAAAATTGCATTTTGATGTCTTCCAAATAATATAATAGTTAACTAATTTTTATTTAAAAATACGGCAACGTGTTTAATTTTTAAAAGTGAGGAGAATTCTTTATATCTAATAAAACACACAGAAAGCTATAATTTTATTCTTTAATATATATATATATATATATATAGCAAGAATCCAATTGTAAGCAATTTGTTGCGCCTTCAACAAGTTTAATAGTGAAATCCCATGGTTAACGTAAATCAATTGGGAAATAAACCACAAAAGAAAAAAATTACACTTGCTTTTCTCCTTTTATGAGTACACCAACAGCATAGCAGTATAACTAATAATATATCCCCCCACACAGCCAAGTCAGACAAAATATGAGAACAACTCAGTATTACTTCTCATATAAATACATATATGCGTCTGAAAATCTAGCCAAATCGTAAAGAGTCAAGACTTTTTTTTATTTGTTGTACAAAGTTCACCATACCCAAGCATCAGCTGAACAGATCTTTCACCACAAGTAAAATTGTATTAACTTCTAGTAGCCAAATGTTGTTCTTTTCATCATCCTCATGAACTCGTCAATATTAACTTCTCCATCATCTGAACAATTCAAATGGCATGCACACCCAAATCAGAAAATAAACTTACTAATTCGCAACTCAAAGATACAAGTACTGCGAACATTAACAAATTGTTCAACATTCCCGTATATTTTCTCCTGTGAGAAAACTGTCTGAAACCATTTTAACAATTTTGTTCTTGTTCTAAGTTTTGCAGGTAACTTCTATCAACACCCAAAAAACAATAAAAGAGAAAATTAATACTATTTTATTCTACATGGTAAAGAAGAATGTAATAAAACAGAAAAAGCACACCGAGTATATTGAGTAAAAAAATACATATCCTAATTTATAGCAGAATTAACAAACAACCCATGGTTTAACCACTGTCTCAACTTCCTATATATAACTTTGTCTCAATCTTCCACTACATAATTTCTATTTAGTCAATTTAAACCTCATACTCTTGTAACATCTGAAAGACCTTCTCCTGTTAACAGCATACACATTTAAGCTCTAACTCCTATTAGAATGATTAAAAGAAAGGCGAATTTGGTAATTTTACCGATTCCTTCTTCTCTTCCGTATTTAGAGACAATGGAATATATACTTCAGCTCATCATTTCTCAACATTCAAAAGTTCATTTGTTTCCCTTCATCAGATGTTCTCCCTCCTTTCACTCAAATTTCTCCTTCCTGCTCTTCTAGCCCCTTCCACGGAACTCCTAGAAGACCCCTTCTCCCTCCGCAACTGCCTTTCTGTGCTAGCATCTCCAGCCACAGAACCCCTAAGATCTCTCCTTTCATTTGTCTCTGCCTCCCCAAGATGGCAAGGGATCCGTCTCCAGCTTCTGTCAAGATTCAAACGCCCTTCCTCATTGGTCACTTTCTCCTCTCAACAAAACTCTTCTTCTCTACCTTGCTGCTTCTCCTCTGCTTCATCGCTACAAATACCTGTCTCTTCTTTCAACCTCATCGCTCGAGGACAACAACCAAGTCCCCAGAGTGCACCCCCATCTAGTGTTGTCCTAACCTCTTTCTTACACGCTTAAATTCTTGATTTTATGTTTTAGATTATGTATTCCCCTAGAAGAAGTTTATGGAAAGCAATCATATGACAGGCAATATGGTGATGATCTTGGAACTACCTATTCCAGGACCTCATCTGAAGTTACTGATGGGGACTCACAAAATTTCCTAGACATCTCAATGCTAAGTGCTTCTGCTTCTGATCAGGAAGTATATTGGCGGTTATAGAGTCCATTCACCTGCAGTGGCTCGTTACAGGGGGAAAGTATGGTCCACATATGCTTACCTACTTCAAGTGGTGCTGAGCAAATTTCGGACATAAATGCTAAACTGTAAAAGCTCATGGTAATGGGCTGCTAAACTTAGAAATTGAGGGAAAAAAGGCAAAAAGGCCAAAACCAAAGTATGGTTCATATTGGGGTATGCATACCTGGGTTAGAATATAGTACTTGACTGCTAAACAAGATATTGCTCCCAACCCCCCCTTTCTGTTCTCTGCTAGCCCTCTTCTGTCGCTCTCAATTTTTCATAAATGTACTTGTGTTCTCACATCTATTTTTAGTTTCCTAGTCTTTTCCTAGTTCAAGTCTAAGATTTATTATTTAATTTCCTAGTTTCATCAGGATTCCCTATTTCTAGTTAGTTTCCTACTTTCCAAGGATTTCTTATTCCTAGTTGGTTTCTTGTTGCAAACCCTATATAATGACTTATTTGTAACAGCTTTTAGACATACCTTAATACAATTCAGCATTATTCTTTAAAGTTTTAGCTTTTATTATGAGACTTAAGTGATCTATGTTTCATCTTCTCAAATAAGACTTCTACTGCACCAGTTTATGAAGCTCAGAAACAGAGGATGGCATGATGACAGAATGCACGATGCTTGGAGGAATCTACTAGGATAGTTTGTTATTGGTAGTGGAGCAATAGAGACAGATCATGAGCTTTTAGAACGTACAAAAATATAAACAGAGACAATGAAGGGGGGGAAGAAAGAGAGAGAGAGGGAGAGAGAGATTTCTTCCAGGTTTTTGTGGTGGATATTGTTTGGGTATGGACAAAAAATTGGGGGCTCTTTGAAAAGGAGAAGTTCAAAAAAAGAAACCCAATCTAGTGTGATCGTAACAAATTCATGATTCTTCACAGAGGAGAGGAGGGGAAGCATTAGCTGACCGAGATTTAAGGATGGCAGAGACTTGAAGAGGAGGTGGTTGTGGTAGAGACAACAATGTGGGAGGCTTTCGTGGAAGGGATATAGGTAGGAAGAGGGGAAGCTAGCAGAGATTGAGTTATACGTGTGAGGCTTGACCTATATAGGAAATATATAATTGCAGAAAACTAAATGGAATAACAAATGGAAGATTATTTTAAAAGGCAAAACATCATTAAGAGCACTACAAACAGAAAAGTAGGTTAACTCACTGTCACGATCTGCTTCGTCAATCATGTCGTTAATCTCACGATCAGTGAAGTTTTCTCCCAACTCCTTTGCTACGCACTTTATGTCATCAGCAGATATCTTCCCCTGATTGCAAACAAAAGTCAATCGCGTGCATGAAGTAACAAGATCAGGGTCTCAATAAATGAAGCTTTACATTTTTATCTTGGTCAATGATTTGGAATGCCTTTGTAAGTTCATCATTAGTGTTTCTCTCGCCAATCTTGGCAGTCATCATATGCACAAATTCATCAAAATCGATTGCACCACTGCCATCTTTGTCCACATCTGCAATCATTTGATTAATTTGCTGAAAGGCACACCGAAGAGTTATATATTAGCCATGCCAGAAGATTGGTCATTGAGAGAAAAGATATACAATTCTTAACCACTTGAAGATACCCAGAAATTATCCATACTTAGACCATTCTGGAAAATCCAGCTTTCTAAAATGTGGTTGCAAAAATGTTCACCAAAAAAATCTACTAAATAAAGAAGTTACCTCCTCGGTCATCTCAAATCCAAGGGCCCTGTAAAAAGAATATTTTAGTTCAATAAGTGAACGATCCCCAAAAGAAACCATTAGCACATGTTACATACATTCATACCTCATGGCAACATTCAGCTCTTTGGCATCGATAGTGCCTGCACAGCATATTTAGACCAACAAATTAAGAAACAATTAAACCCAGAAGGTGAAAAATATGCGATGTTTATGATTAAGTACCTGACTGATCAGTGTCAAATAGGTCAAATGCTTCTTTAATCTCCTGCCTCTTCTGTTGAGTTAATCCATGATGACGTCCCCGAGGTTTTTCCTTCCTGGATTGTCCTCTATAAAGACTTGCCTATTGGCATGGTTGCAAATGCATTACAAAGCAGTAACATGTGGAGAATAGCTCAAACAAACATTTAAAAAGAAATTATTCATATATTTATTGGCATTGTAAAAGAAGATATCTAAAATTGATGATAAACAAACGAAGATGATAAAAATGTTCTTCAAAAAATAAATATTCAAAATTACAATCACCACATATAAATATGAATTATATTCATCCGATCATCCGCAAGTAATTTAGCTAAACATGATATACTTCACAGAGCACAACAGTATAGCCCTTAATAGTGTCGCCGAGAAATTTGTTCAAGCCATATTTCATCTTCAACTTAGATGAAACCTGAAAAACCTAAACCGGATTTACATTTTCGCCTCAGAAATTCCTAATTTATACTCAATTCAAACGTTAAACATCAAATTGTCACGCCAGAAAAAGATAATAGAGTTTTTATATTTTTTATTAAAAAAAAAAAAAAAAAAAACAGGAATAACACCCAATTATTCAAATATCAATACCAGATCACAAACTGTAATGAAGCAATCTAATGCGTTGAATTGAAGATACATACAGAAACACATAACTAAGTTTAACGGAAAAAAAAAAACTAAAAAAATGAAGTAATTGAGAACCTAAACGCACCATTTCTCCACTCGAAAACTCGTTAGGAGCTTGATAAAGTCCTTGATGAAGATGGCAGATTCAAGAAGTCCTCACAACGCAGAAGAGAAAAGGCTGGGAAATGCCTTTCCGGAAAATTTATTTTTGTTCTCACAATTGTCGACCGGTTCGGCATTTAGAGGCCCTTTATAGTGGCCCAGTTTTGCTTGGGCCTCTCTAGACTTTTCCAAAAGCTTCTTAACAAATTTAAGAAAAGAAAATAATGTGATTTTTCAGAAAAACAAAACTAAATATTTAGATTGCAGACTACAATAAGGTTTTAGTTAAATTGAAATTTTTGGTAACATTTTATTCTCTATGTTTTCATACTCAGTATCTTGATTCATTCTCATCCACCCGTTTAGTAACGAGCCAGCGACATATTGAGTCTCGTCTTCAACTTTGCAGCTTTGCAGCTTCACCATATACAATTCTACTCAGCTTTGCCAAGCAAATTCTTGATCATATAAGACCTTTGAAGTTTGATTTTATTTTTATATTTTGACAAATTTTTATTCTTTAAAAATCCTTATACATGTGATATAGAACCAAATCTTAAAACTAGAACCACGAGATTTTGTTGTTTTAACAGTAATTCATGTAACAGTATAAATAAGTTTTAGTGAACAAAATCTTGTCTCATTCATTGTGTTTCGGACCATTTTAGCCATAAACAAAGACAATGAAGCAAGCCGTGATGGAGTTATCCAATTGTAGTCTGACATGCTACTTTAATGACTAGATACGACAGATAATTAATTTTACAACTTTTAATAAGTGGGTTTATCAATTAAAAAGTAAAGAGATTATTTCATAAGTTCATAATCTTTTAATACGTCAATCTGATTTTGTTATGATTATAAATAAACCTAATTATAGTAGAAAAGTACCAAGTTTTACCAAAAACTACACTTTATTAAACTTGCATTTGGTTCAGAGTAGTTTAAGGAAACATATTATGTAGTTAAGGCGATTTTAATTGTGGTTTGTCTTTATGAGTAGCTATATATATATATATACATATATATATATAGTTAGCAAACTAAATAATTTATGAATTATAATTTTGTAGAAATATATACTCTAAAATATTGTATTGAAACAAATTAGACATAGCTTATACAATTTACTACAATCTAAAATTTTCTTTATGAAAAGGATGTATAAAAATTGTTAGTCAAGTTTCTTTCTTTTTTTAAGAGGTTGCGAATTCGAATTAAATTGTGTTTTTATTGTTTTTATTAAAATTTAGTGAGTTTAAATCGAATTTAGTGAGTTAAAATTTAATCCATATATATATATATGTAGATTTATATGTGTGTATATATATATATATATATAGAGAGAGAGAGAGAGCAGTGAACATTCTTGGAAAGCAAAAACTCTCAGAAATCAAGGATCACCTTTTTATTAATGTTTCTGGACATTGAGGGGAAACGAAAGTTACTGCAACAACGAAGCGAAACAGAAATTAGCACATCTTCCATCCCGACTCGGATTAAGGAGGAGTTGATTGAGACTGAGATGAGAAAGCCATGTACCCATGTCTTGTCAGCCCTGACTGCAGGATTCGTCTTTCCAAAACCTTGCAGGGAGTCCGCCTTTGGGCATTGGAAACGGGGCGTACTCAACCCGATTCCCGGATCCCACCACTTCCCACCTGCATGTGTAAACCCCATAATTCACTCTATATGTGAGTGAGAGTGTAAACTATATATACATATATATATCTATATGTATGTGTGATACAAGCATAGAAAACTGTCAGATGAGTAAACCTGAACTTGTTGACCAGATGGTGAATTAGAATTAGCATCTCAAGCTTTGCGACTTCATTTCCAGGACATGCATGAACACCAGTGCCGAATGGCATATACGTACTGGCTTTTAGTCCAACCTTCATTCATGAAATCACTCCGATCTTAATAATTAATTAATTTTTTAAAATAATTAGCTAAAATGTCCCTTAATTACCTCAAATCTTGAAGGATCAAATATATTTGGATGGGTGAAGAAATCCGGATCATGGTGCAGGTTTCGAAATAAAGGAAGTACCTTCCATCCTTTTGGAATTAAGAAACCTGCCATTAGTTATATGTATACATTTTATCCTTAATTAGATGATTCACCGCTCCAGTAGGCTGTGTTTGTAAGTAATTAAAACTTTTGATAAATTCTAATTCTTTAATAATCCATATATATATATATATATATATATAATTTAATAAAAAAATAAATAAAAATTAATGTAGTACGTAACTATTTTACCTTTGTATTCAACATCCTGAACCGCTTCACGGAAAGTGAAAGATATTATGCTTGCCATCCTCAAACTCTCCATTATCACCTGAACCATTAGTGCAAGTATAGCAAGGTTAGATACATCAATCTTTCCTCCCTTTTTCCTCTAAAATGCCCACATCTACATATATATATATATATATATATGTTACTGTGTCTACTATTATGATTCTTGAGTGAGATCATTTGTATTATTAATACCCGACTAGTTAGAGGCATATTTCTTGCTTGAGTCCAGGTTAATGGCCGTTTTCCTCCATCATTTGATTCATAAAACGCCTTCTGCTCTGCCTGAAATGGCCGAGAAATTAGCTTAAACGTAATATCAGCTGATATATATATATATATATAGTAGTTCTAATTAACCTTGATAGACTCCAAAAGGTTTGAATCATCATGAATGTACTTGAGAATCCATGTCAAGACACTGGCAGTGGTGTCCTGAGCTGCAAAGAGCACCCCAATGACGTTATCTCCTATTTCATCATCACTCAGTCGCTCACCATTTTCACATTCGAACTTCATGAGGCTGCCCAGAAGCCCTCTCTCCTCTAATTTCCTGCTCCTTATGATCTCTCTCAGAATTTGCCCTATCCTTTTCCTTGCCTTAATCGTATATATATTTTTTCAAAGAGAGATAGAGAAACAAAGAGTTAATTACTAATTTGTTTGCTAACTAAAATAATAAATTATCATTAATGGAAGTATTAGGCTGATTAATTACCAAGAGTGATTTCTTGTATGGAGTTCCAGGGAGATTTATAGGGAAAGAATTGTAACCCTTGTCCAGTGTGCGGTAGTTCTTCTCCAGCATAGCTTTGTAGGAAGTCTCCAGCTGACCAAATATGATCAAAGTAGCTACATCAAATGTAAACTGCAGATATGTAGGATCCCGACTTAATTAGCTCCTTTTCTTAAATTTGGTTCAACCTAAACTTCCAAGTTCAATATGGAAAATGTTAATTTACTATTTACCTACTTAATTAATTTGTTACAGATATTGTAATTACAATCTTTAATAAACAAATAAATTAATTAATCATTCGAACATCATAATATTTAAAAAATAAATTTAAAATTTACGCGCCAAAATTAAATACGTGCGAAATAAAAATTCTATAGATATGAGTATTTACTAGTATGGTTTTATAATTTTTTTTGCTTAAATTGAACAGTGTATATTTGAGTCATTAATCAATTTAATAAAAAAAGCTAAAAAAAACATATATGAATCAAAGAGATTAGAGAAAGTAGTAAATAATGAACTTGATGAAACTAAAATGTAAATATCCCATGAGGACATTTTGTCTTTGTTCATGCTTAAATACTATAGAGCGAGATGAAAAGTATACATATATATATATATATTAATTAAAGGCATACGTACCTTCTTCATCTGACGGAAGGTGTTAATGACTCGGCCACCAGCACAGCATGAGTTCAAAGCAAGTAGAGCAATAGCTTCAATGTCAGGAATCAAGGTGCGGATAATGTCGAGATTGAGGGAAGCTTGAACTAATTTTCTGATTCGAGTATGATAAGCACCAGCTTGCTGGAAGAAAATGGCGGACGATCCGATCAGCTTCTCCTTCGATGGAGGGTAAGTTGGCTTGAACAATCTTGACTGTGTCACCAACACAAATTTTACAGCCTCAGGACTTGCCACCATCACACAAGGACAACCTAGTAAATGAGTCTTGAATATCTCACCATACCTAAAAATTAATTAACCACCATTAATAAATTAATAATACCCAAATACAAAAAAAAAAAAATGAATGAATTAAATGCAACTTAATATTAATTAATTAATAAACCTTTGTAGCCTAGACTGAAAAAAGACATCTGGGTTTTGAGAGTAAAGTTTTAGAGATTCTCCAATGTATGGCCAACCCATTGAACCTGGTGGCAAGTTTTTCATCCTCTTCTTCTCTGATTTTCCTACTACAATGCTCGTCAGTAGTATTAATGGAAAAAGAAGCATGAGAAGGGTGATAACTACAATCTCCATTTTCACTCTTATTTCCAGGGCAAGCACAGAACTAACTAGAGAGACTCTATTGTTTATACAGACGACGCATATATATGGTGGTATATATATATATATATATATACGTACTTGAAGTTGAAATTAACCAATCTATTAATTTACAGTTACCATGACGTTAATTTAGTGAAGGCGAAAAAGAAGAGAAGACGTACAAAAATCTGCCACCTTTAGTAGCCCAGGTGTTGTAGAGGCGGGGGTTACATGTCCCAAAACCATTACATTTGTGAAGTTTGAGTCAGAAAATTTGGCATTTCATCAAGTGTACCTCCTCAAACTTCGACACATCATTTGCCTTTCACAATTGAACAGCTATATCTCTCTGTCTCTTAGCCTGCACCCAAAACGGACCACTGAACCCTACGTTACTGCATTTTCGAAATTCATTCATCAATTTTGAATACCCATCAATTAACTAAACAATCCTTAAATTATATATACACACATAATTACCTAAATATAAAAATACAAGATCCAAAACTACATTAAAAAAATTATTTACATTTTTAATTTTTGAAAGGAAATGCGAGTGGAAGGAATGATTTCGCCGTCAAAACACTTTTTCTGGAAAATGATGAACAGTTCACCGACTTTCCGACGGGCGTTGGACCGGAGGGGATCTTTGACGGTTACAATCCGACGGCTACAATCCCATCTCGCGGTCAAGACGAGACTCAAATTTGGCGGTTACGGAAGTGCAACGCTCGAAAGTGGGGCCCATGTCCACGTAGATCGTCCTTCAATTCTTATCGTCCAAGTACGGTTCATCTTAGAATGTCTGAGGGTGCCAGGTGGATATGATTACGTAGTACAGCTGGTAGCCGGACACGTCACAAGGTCAAGATTGTAAAATAAACGCGAGTCGTGAGGTCGAAAGAGACAGGAGGAGCTGACAAGTCAATACTTTGGTTTCCTTTTAATTTTTTATGACGTCACTGGTCAAAATTTTTTGAGGTAATTCTAATGTATAATAGTTTTGGTGAATATTATTAAATTTTCAAAAATAAATTTCTTAAAATGCAGTACGTAAGAGATAAAACAAATTATATTGTAATAATCATTGACTTTCAAGAGCGGCTTCGAAGTCATTCGGCATCAACTGACGTCCTTCACTAACAATGGCATAAGCTTCTCCTTGGAGGATTCGGCTGGTTGACCAGGGATTTTGGATGAACAGGAAGACATGGGAGCCAGCTCCTAAAATTGAACACTCGTGCCTTTGTAAGGGATGGAGGCAGTGGCTACAGACTTTGCGTGGCAACTAAATTCCAAAACCTGATTCGCAATTTCGGGCCCAAATAATTAAATTACCAGAAAAAATTTGTATTCTTAAATTAAATTACCAGTCATAAACTAGAGGAGAAATTATTTGCAATGTTAGATTTACATAACATATGTTAAAATGTTATGTTTGGCATAAATTTAAAGAAGAGATATTTAAAAAAATTTATATAAAATGATAAAAATTGAATTAATATAAAATTACAGTAAAATATTTTTAATTTTTACCACATTACACTCTAAAAGCATTCCTCATCGCTTCCAAAACTCTGTTTGCAATATCAGGTCCAAACAACCGTGGAAAGCTCGAGCCTAGATCGACCTCGATGGTCTTGTTTCTAAACATCCTATCTCTGGTTTCCAATTCACCTCCTTCTGATTCTCCTATATCTCTTTCTACACAAGCACATTGATTCAGCCAGATTCCTAGCACTTCTTCTGCAGCGACAGCAATATTATCCTCTATGATTTCCTCCATTCGGTTTGACCCATGTTCACCGGCGTCAACTTTAATCATTATGGCTGTGGGGGAGCATGCACAGCGGATGAAAAGAGAAGATGAGATGTATTGTTGCACCTCTGGGAGTTTTTCCAGTGTTTGTCTTTGTGCATCCAGGCGGGTGTCTTCATAGAAAGTCTGAAGGTAGTCTGGATGAAGAACAAGGTCCTTTCGAGGAGACAAATCAAGAATGAGAACTAGTGATGTCGGGCTACTCACAATGAGCTCGAATAAGAAATTTGGTGCATCTGTTAAAGCCGTTAGATAGGCTGAAAAGCTTGTTATGTTCAATGCTCCACTTGGTAGCTCACAGTGTATCCAACTTCCCATAATGAGGTCAATCTGAGAAGAAAAGTATATCTTTAGATATGCAAAGTGCAAGGAGAAATATAACAAGTTATGTTCAATGTCCAATGACATCCAAACTAGAAATCAGAATCCAACAACATGCAAGCCTGTTCATGAACTGAAATATACAATTTCATCTCATTATCAACTCGCCTTCCACACTAGACTACGACATATCTCATCATCAACTTGTACTGCAGATAACAACTTTGCTATTAGTTTTTACTGGAAACAGCCCCCCAGATCCAGTTATTTTTCCTAGTGAATCTCCACATCGATTTGTTAATAAAGTTTCATCTCTTCTTTAATAAGAGAATTTCATGTATCTTCTTCTTCAGCAACTGTTTGTGTCTCTCTTTTATTAGTTTGCTTAAATTTGGTATTACATACATATTTACTTCCGTGCCACTGTAAAAAGAAATTATACAGATTTCTGACCACGAAGATGCAAGGAAATCAATATCGAGATATACAATCATTAAAGACAAAATAAAACTCCGAATTTTTCTGAATGTTTATGCATTAATCTAGAGATCATGACTTTACAACCAATGAATTAACTTCCCTTTAAAAGGAAAAGCTCAATGGTTAAGTTAGGTCTTGAAGGACTAGTCTTGGTTCTTATTTATTTGTCCTTGTAGAGTAAACATTCCCCCCTTTGGATAAGTAAGTTTGGTCATAGGGGGATCTGAAGCTATACAAGGGTATTACGTCCAAGCAATCTCTAATTTAAAAATAAAAATAAAAACAAAAACTAAGAATCCTCCTCGTAAACAATCTCTAGTTAGATCCACAGGCGCTCAATTTGATAAGATTAAATTCTCCCATAAGTCTTAATATACTCTACAGCCTTGTCCAGTATCATGTCAGCATCAGAGTTGATTCTAATATGGCATGCCAACAATACTTTCCCAACTGTTACGGGCCAAATGTGTATGTATGGCAACAGCCTCATCCATACCTAACAGACAGACCCTTCTCAGGCACTGTAGTAACTACCTTGGAAGAGTGCTCTACATTAGATCTTCTAAAATGTGTCCGGACCCCAAGTTCATGATTCCATTCATGAGCTTGAATGTAGAAATTGATAGATTGGGAAGAAGAAGAAAAGTGAAGGATAGTGAAGTGTGGAGAGATTTAGGGAAATTCAATATATTGTATTCATTGATTGATTCAAGCTACCGCAGAAACTTCCAATCCTCTTCTCACTTCACTAACATATGCTAAAATATAGAAATGCTTATAAATCAACACTAGACTATTAAAGCTAATTAACCATCATTATGACAAAATAATGGTTCCTAGTTGTTGACAGTACCATCCCCTGGAAATTATTCTGTCCTCAAGGATATTTAACTGATCAACAAAATGCAAAATGTCATCCATTCTCCATTCGCTCCTCCGAACTAACAATAAAAGCCCATTTCAAGTGCCAGTCAAAAAATGCGGATATTTATTGCATTCATATATATACATCCAAGAGAAGCCCAAAATATTTACAGAACCAGCTAAATATAAAAATGCTAACTCGTTCTTCTATGCCAATCAGGTATTCTAAGAACTAAAATTGCAACTGATGGAAAAGAGATGGAAAGTCACATCCTTCCTTAAAGCAAGTTTTTGTAAGGGTGGTATTTTCTTTTCACACAAACATCGGGTTGAAAAGTACTTGCAAGTTTTCATTATTTGGAGCTTCCTACATCCTTGGAGAAAATAATTTATGTTCATTAATACCACGAGACGATGCCTCAGACCTTCAGTTGTCGTATGATTTTAGACCTTGAATCGGTGACGACCTCTTAAATCTTTTGTTTGATCCGATTAACTTTCTAATAGAACGGGCGACGAACTCCTAAAAAAAAATTTATTTTTAAATTTTAAGAAAAATATTTCACCTCTCATCATCGTTTTCGACAGTAACAAAGTCAACATTTTTAGCAAATAAAATACCAAGATGACTGAATAAACAACGTCCAAAAATACCCAAATCATCAGCAATAGGTCCAATCCAACAACACGATAGTAGCATAAAAAAATAATGGGTCTTATCTACAATCAGGAAAAATCAAAAACTATTTTTGCATACCAAATAATGACTGCAATCGTCAAATGGATTAAGGAGAATCTTTTAGGTTGAAACCAACTAACATTGACCGATTCCTAAGTTAATTGTTTAATTGTAATGAGCAGTCCAATCTAATGGATCTTTTCCTTTCCAAAAAAAAATAACGTTTAAATAGGAAATTACCAGTGAAGATTTACGGCCGGGTCGGATCTGGAGAGAGGCTTGAGCAGTCCGAGTCTGGTTCTCGAAGTACTGTACATCTGGAGGGAGAGAACAAGGAAGGAGGTGGGAACCAAGGCGATTCTCCACCGTTGATATGAGATTAATCATTAGATTCCTGTGCGCGGCCGACACGTACGGAAAGTCCGTCAGATTTCTCCGCTTCTTGTCATGGTGATCCATGGGAAATGATGAAGGCGGGGAGGTCGCTGTAATTTGAATTCTTGAGGGCTTGGTTGAAGAGAGAATTGCAGAGGAATAAGGAATCGAAGAGAGTAGAGAGTGTGGAGAGCAGCACGAAACCAGAGCCATGTGTCGGAGAATCAAGGCCACAAATATTTCTTACACATAGGCCTTGTTTGGGAAAATTTTTTACTAACTTTTTTTTTTTTTTGCAAAGTATTTTTATCATTAAATTGATAAAATAAGAATGTTTTTTTAAAAATAAAATAAAAATATACATATAATAAAAATAATAGTTTAAATTTTAATAAAATTTTAAACTTATCAAAAATTATTTTGATCTAAAACATAATTTTTAATTTCTTTTTGAAAAAAAAAATTAGATGCATAATTTCAATTTTAGGTAAAATTTATGTATCGATATTTATGTACATTTTTTATATAATTATAAATATAAAAACTTTTATTAAAAATAGAAAATGTAATTTAAGAAAGAACAGTTCTACCATTTTCTAATTATTTTAAAACTTTTATGCTATGATATACTTATTTATATATCATAAATGGGCACTAAAAAGATTAATACGACATGCTAAAACTAGAATAATAGTAAAAACACCATTTACCATGTTTTAAAAATAATGTAATTTCTATTTTTTTACTCAAAAAAAATTATATTATTATTATTATTATTTTAAATAACAATAACTTCAAAAATTAAGTCAAATATTGTAAAAAGTTCTTGAAAGTTTAATGTCTTTTTTTTTTTTTTTTTTTTTGTTAGGTAAAATACCAAATTGACTTAGAAATTTAATTAGACACGGGACAACAAAAAAATACAAGCACAAAATAACGTTAAATAACAATTTAATTCTTCCAAAACAATATATAAAATTAATTTAATATTTATTGCAGCTTTCGTATTAATCATAAAACTATACGTAAAAAATAACGATGACGTCGTGCGGTCAATAACCAGGAGCTTCACGTACATGGGATTAGAGTTGACAACTAACTTTGAAAATATAATATTTTAAAAAAATTTGTAATAAATTTCACATGAATATAATTGTTGAAAAAATTAGTATTTCTATAATTCGTCGTTTAGTTGTTATTTGTTTATAAATTTTAATTATTTTATTACTGAGGAGGTTCGTAAATTAAGATTGCTAATGGAAACATGTTTGGACGATCGTGTTCATTGGCTGGTGGGGCGGTAGACGCGAGATGAGCCGACAACCGTCGTCTTCAGTCACCAACCAAAGCTTGTTGATGTTTCAAAACATTTTAATTCAACGCCGAAAACAAAGACTTGAATGTAAATTTTTAAAAGAAAAAAAAATTAAGCAGATGATAGAAAAATTTAGAAGCAAAGTTTACACGGTATAGAGTTGATGGATCATCATCTATGAAGTAACAGCAGAAGAACAACAACCTCGTAATAAATGAAAGGGTGATAGAGGGAGGAGCCGTTTGCCTTTTGATCTCTCCATCATCTTCCAAAAACATCCTTGCTTTTATTATTCCAATCACCTACCAATCAAGAACCTTCTTTCTTTTCTTCCCCACCATCGTACACCACTTTTTTTGCTTGTTACTCGCACACCCTGCTGCTCTTCAGCACCGGGGTATGGAATTGAACCTTCTTCGTTCCTTTCAACTGGGTCCCACTGAAACCCATGTTCTCATCGTCGTCCCTCTTTCGTTTCTCTCCCTTGACCCACACCCCGAACAGTTTCAAGCCTTCGCCTTCGCCGTCGCCGTCATCCCCGCCGGGGGCCACACCCCCTGGACCATCAAAAATGGACCCGCAGTTCCCTTGCCGCATAATGCGATTGATCTGGTCGGGCCCAACCTTCACGTACTCCGTCAGGAAAGCGATCAGCTCGTCGCATTGCTTCTTGGCGTGTGCCAGCTCCGAGCTCAGCATCTGATTGTCTCGCTTCAGTTTCTCGTTCTCGTCCGATAAGTCGGCGAATTGAGGCGTGCCGGCCGTCTCCACCGAGCCTGGGTTCTTGGAGTCCGGAGATGACGTGGAGCTGGAGCCCAGGTCCTCGCCAGAGTTGGAGGGAGAAATAAGGCCGGCGCCCGCGTTATTTCCACCAGCCGGAGTGGGCGACGGGCTGAAGGTCTTACGGCGTCGTATCTCGGAGAGCAGCTCTTTCTGTCCCCGGCGGAAGTACTCGTTAGCAAACTCCCATTTGTCGGGCACAATCTTTCGGAATCCCTGTTGAACGACACAATAGTAGCTATTAGGAGACGAGAGTACTTTCACCCCCCCAAAAATTCTAGGGCATTAAATTAATATCCATACAAAATTCTGAAGAACAATAATGAAAACGTCTACTTTGATTTGGTCAATGAAATTAAAAAAAGAAAATGTTGTATTCAAAAACTTTCAAACGCGGAACTATGCCATCACATTTTTAAAAAAATCGTACACGTCGTTGAAAATCCAAATACAAGAAGGTGCCCAAACATATTCTTTAAAAACCCACCATTTTGGGCCGTACACGTAATTTTGCAAATTATGATACTTGCAAGTCTAAATTAATATTTTGAAAGTAATTAATTAAAAACTATTTGGAAATGGGTCGTGAGAGATGATTGGGGTTAGGTTCGAGATGCTAAGTTTTTTAAAATGGGTCGGGTCCAGCCGTACAGCGTTGCTTAGCTGTATAAACAAAGGATCAACCTACTTGACTTGACGTAGTTGATCTCCCAAATGGAGTCGGCAGAAATTTCTTTGAGACCTAAAATTGTTTGGTGGGAAGGACAGTAAAAAGCAATTAACCCAGGAGAGTAAATTTATCTTAAATCTCAAGTCACCCCACCCATCACTCCACAAGCTAAATCACCATCATCTCCTAAAAGTAGACATAGTAATAATCGACAGAAGAGAAGAAAGGGGATAGATTCTTGTAAGAATAAAAAACAACAAATCAACATTCGATCTTCCAAAACACACGCCTTCTTCTTCCTCTTTCTTATTAATATATTATTATTGTTACAGGAGAGAGAGAGAGAGAGAGAGAGAGAGAGACTTACATAGGTGTTGAGTTGACGAACGAAGCTGGAGAAGTTATTGTGCTTGAAATAATTAGGAAGCAAATCTTTGGCGAAGTCAGCAGTTTTCCAGACGATGAAGGTATTGCCGGTATCACTCCAGGAGATAACATCGTCGGTGATCGGATCATCCACCAACTGGTACGTCTTCGTCAAAAACGGCGCCGGAACAGACCTCTGCGCCATTTCTTCCCGATTTCCTCCTCACCTACCACCACCTTCTTACTACTACTACTACTACTTTTCTTAAAACCCAGAAAAAGAAGAGAGAAATTAAAGGAGAAAAATACAAGTTCTAGTAAGGATAACTAAAAAGCAAGAGAGCCGTTAAGAATTCCCAGCCCCAGCAATAAAACCCAGAGAGGAAGCAACGGGTGGTAGTCGTGGTGGCGGCGTGAGGTAGATCGGTAGAAGAAGTCGGGCGTTGCAGTTGGAAGCTATCAGATTCCATTGGCCTGGGGGGAGAAGACTAAGGCTCTGGCATAGAGAATCAAGATCATAACTTTGAACGAATATGGTTTGAAGAAAAAGATGAAATTTTTTTCCTCCGCAGGTTCATGTATTGGGATTATATAAAAAGGTAGGAAATGGGGAGGGGGAAGAGAAAAGGACGTGGGTTCTAGAAATTTTGAGAAAGTTTTTTTTGTAAATAAAGAAAAAGTAATATAATAAATTCATCCCACCATCTTTGGTCTCCTTCGGAAAGCACACACAACACGCTTCTTTTTCTTTTTCTTTTTTTTTTTTTTTTTTCTATTTTTTCTTCCTTGGGGGAATTTCTTGGTCGTTTCTTGGGGGAAGCTTCTATTTCATTTCTAGAGGGATGATTTGTTTCTCCTTCTCGTTTTTTTTTAATAATATTTTATTTCCGACACTGCTCTTTTTACATTTCTCAAAATTTACGATCATCTTCAAGTTTTGGCACCTGGCGAGGGACGGTTCTTTCGCCACAATTTACTATTCAAACTTTTTTAATTTGACGGGGAGGAATGTGGAAAAAAAAAAAAAAGAATGGTCTAGAATTTTGATAATATAGTAAAAATTGCTGGTGTGAAAGCTATAAATCGAAGAACAAAGAAAGTTTCTCACTTTCCACAAATATGTGCTCCCATCAAAATCAACATCCATTTACCTTTTTTTTTTTTCTAAAATTCTAATGTACATTTCTTCTAAAGACTCTTTTCTAACTCTGCCCGCTAGTCAAGTTAAAGATATATACGAAAATAATTGTCTTCCCTTTAACACAATATACATGTAGTATATACAGACAACAGTCAAACATATATATACACATACATACAATATAATATAACATATATGGACAAAATCAATTAATTTGATTGGCACAAACAGCTGGCCTTGTTAGTTACATATTGGATATATATATATATATATATATATAATGTTATGCCAATTTGATATTTCTAGAATCAAATATTCTGTTCTAAAAAATTAGTATGAATTTAATATTTTCTTTAATTTATTAGCTTTTGTACAGAGATTATAATGAACCCAACTCTATAATTTGATGTAAATAAAAATTAATATAATATAAGTTTTATGCTGGGAAATTAATTTTTTATTTTTTTAAAAAAAAATAATAATTATTATATTACGTTTAAATTAACTAAATATAAACTTATTAGCAAATTGTATGAAGTTATTCCATCGGAAGCGGTAGCCCAAGTAAATTGACCCAATAAATAAATGGAACTTTACAGAAGAAGATTCATGCGATGTGAACAGCCACCGGATTTATGCAGACTATGGCTGCTAATCATGTGGGCATGCACGTGAAACACAAGAAGATATTACCTACGTAAATACATGCGTATGTGTATGTATATGCATACATTCAATCCAATTTATATATATATATATATATTATATATATTTCCAGCCGATTAACTTAGTTTTGTCTATTTTCTATATTGAAAAAAAAAAAGCTGTTCTTATCAGTTTAAAACTTTTAGCTTTTGTCTTGCATCCGCCATGGATATTATCTTAATATAGCACACAATTTACAACTTGCCTTTGGAAAGTCTTGTTTGTTCAGCTATTTTTGTCTCATTCCACCGCGAAATTATTAGAGTCTGAATGTTCCTCCCAATGATTTATTAAATTTCGCATGAGTCTTAATTTGATGAGAAAATAATACTTCTGTTCTTCAATAATTGAAGCCGAAAATTAAACAAACAAGAGATGCAAACCGGAAGAGAAATCTTGCTTCTGGCCACGATCGAGATGGTGGGAAAGTTTTTATTTCCGTCGCTAATAATAACGTTAGTTTTGCGTTTAACAGTCAAAAAGTAGATTAAAAAATCTTAAAGAAAAGACGAGAATCATCTTGTAAAAAGAATATAAACACTAGTTTAAAACAATATTTTGATAAGACTGATTACGTCGAAAGCTGTTTTGAAGAGAAACCGGGGGCTGCACCAGAAGTTTTGGCTCCTGTCTTTGGACTTTTGGTTTTCTGCTCTGTCATTCTTTCAAACAAACATTGCTCATCTTCCACCACGTTCTCTTGAATATTCAAACCCCCATGCACACGTCTTTTTCACCACTAAAACATACATACATACATACATATATATATATATAAATATATTCACCAGTACCCTTGGAAAATCAAGCCCATCCCGGATGTAGAAGATATTTATTTCCAATATTATTATTTCTTATCTTTCTGAAAAAGAAAGAAATTACTCTCATGTAAACACATAGAAAAATCAATGTAGTCTCAATTAATTTTTCTAGAGTTTACAGACCAAATGGATGAGGTTATAAGGTTAGAGACAGACTCATGATTCAATGGGTCATGAGTTAGTATCATATATATATATACATACGATATGCATGAGAATCAACCATCATCACTTATTCTTCCTCTTTATCTCTCAAGAAAGTAAAATTGATATGAATTGCAGTCAAGTTCATGATTAGCAAGTTAATCATAACAACTAGTGTAAAATATAAGTAAGTACATATTAATTAGAAATAAGAAGAGAACTTATAAAAATCAAGTCAAACAAATCATCAACCTTTTCTTGTAATTTTCAGAAGTTAAGATTGAATGATTAGTAGTTGAGAGAGATTCTGAAGAAGTTAGTGATCAACCACCAATTCATTTAAGTTAATTCCTTTTTTTTTTAAAAAAAAAGAAAATTTATAGAACATGATATCATATATATATATATATATATATAGTTTTTCAACATCATTGTTCGGATTTCCGGAATCGGAATGAGAAGATGCCTATGTATGTATATACACATATTCCTTTACTTACAGTTGATTTTTGCCTGATCTGATAATCACACTTACTGTTGACTGATTCATAGACTACATATGTATATATATATTACGAGTATCTTCAAGACCAGGCCGGTCGCCAACTCTTGACAAAAGCGGCCTACTAGCCACTTCACTTCCTCAGTTGAGGTTGCTAATGCTATAAATTAATAAGTTAAACAATTTACTTAAGGTATTTTGAAAAAATTTTCTCGCATATAGTCAACATATATATATGTGGTATGATTACTAGATATTATATATATATTATTGGCTTTACATATATATATATATTGATTAAAGTCAAGCACGATCCGAGGAGAAAAGATAATTAGGCAGGTAATCATAAGACTAATTGGCCCTGTTCCTCGTTTACATATATAATCTTTTGTTCTGGTTTGTCTTGTGAAATCTGAGAGATACTCTTGTTTGCTCCATAATTATTAACCATACCCACGTTGCTATCTAAAAAACAACTACCCATTACCTTTCTCTACATTTTTCTTCCTAGTTCCTACAGAGGTTAGGAATCTAATTTTTATGGATGTAATGATTGAACTGTTTTTTTTTTTACTGTAGATTAAAGTATTGATCTTTAAGTCAGATCCCATCAAAATAACATAAGACTACTTGAAATCTAAGCAAAATTTTCATAATTATGCCCTAAGAAAACTCTTTACATGTTCTTTATTTCTCAGTTGCTTATACTTTAATCTGTACTAAAATCAACTTGAAGTGTCTCCCACCATTGATTCAGCTCTCTCCTGCCAATTAAGAGAGAAAATGAGAGAAGCTGGCTGTTAAGAGTGTTGAGTTTATGAAAGTTAATTTGCGGTTGGGGCAGAACTGAATTTGGGCCATTAGTGAAGAAATTGAGTTACTGGGTCACAATTATTAGCCCAAAAGGGAACGGCAATTTGAGTCTCATCCATGCTCATTAACAGGGGGCGACCAGTCGACTAGAGTGTCCAGCCATGCGCATTAAAGGACTACACACGTGGTGCTTTTGTTGATAAATTGTTTTGGCACTAACCCAGACCAGGCTTGGTGGGTGGTGCTCAGCCAGCTGCATTCAAATATCAATTGCATTTTTTTACCACTTAATTTCCAACATTTCAATTATCCCCTTCTACTTGTAAGGTTTCCTTTGCCCATATCAGACAAGCTCATCTTCTTTTGAATCAACACTTCAGACAAACTCATCCCCACAGCCATTATTAGCCTCGCAACATATCATAATTGTACAAACACAAGCCAATAAGCTCATCAACAATTTGACAAGACAAATTAACCTACACCAATCTGCAACAACAAAATATCTTAAAGTAAAGAAGAAAAATCCGTAACTCGCTAATATTTCAAGAACAAATGAAGTACGTAATTAGTAGATAGATCAAGTTGTACAACTCCAAAGTAAATGTTGTCGTAAATTTTCCCAGACAGTATCTAATTTCATAGATTTTTTTAGAATTAAATATGTCAATACTTCATAATTTTTTATTATATTTTAGTGACATTTTGTTACTGCTTGGATTATTATTTGTTGTCATTTTTACTATTAGCTATCATAAACTCATAACAGTAATGTATATAATAGACTAAAATAACATGAAATGCTAACCAATTACAATCAAATTTTACCAATATCTTACACTACTAATAAATTTAACAGTCAATAAGTTTCTTCCTCTACAAAAGGTTGTAAGTTGGAGTTGGCCTATATCTCTTTTCTATAGTTTTTCATTTTGCTAGTACTTCATATGATTTGTGTATCAAAAGAATATGAGTTGCAAAGTTGGTACATAAAAGCCTGCAAGGTTTAAACATCCATGCATCAAGAAGCAATGGTAAATATGAAAATAGAATTTGAGAAATTCATATATTCTTTAATATCCACCAAAAAATTATCAAAACACGTATAAGTTCAAAATATTTTGGTACACAAAAGTGAATTAACAACAGTTAAAGCTGGAATTCTTCTTTTTCTTACATTGTATCTTCAACTAGAAAATCTGCTAATGATTGTCACCTAATCAATTGATGCCATCATACTATGTAGCAATATCTACCAAGACAAATATATGAATCACACCCAAAAAAAATTAAGAATTCCCAAATTTCTTATTTTGGACAAATCGACAAACTTTTTGCAGTAAACAATGCAGCCGTTTGGTTGAAAATATAAAACTCCACCACAACAAGAGTCATCATATGTATACAAAAGCAAGGAACAATATGTTAAAAGGGGACGTCGTTCATAACCCCCCACCAAAAAAAAAAGTCTAATTCCCTACCTGCTATCATTAGAATATTGACTTTCCACTCACATGACTTAGCTTTCACGAAAGAAAATAAAGTCATATTACAAAAGAAAACAAGCTGTATACACCAAGGCAACGGATTCTTACAGAAGAAATTAATTTACACCCACATACCTATTTATGTAATCTGTCAAGTAAAACAATCAATCTATTCAATCAAGCAAAAACAGCTTTTGACAATTTTCAGTCTCACAACTAATTTTCATATATCAACACAGAATAATCTAAAACACTAAATTGAAGGAGAAACAAAACCCATGACAGCAAATCTAAAGATCTTTCAAATTGAAGTAAAAAAAAAGGAGAAAGGAGAAAAAAGGTCAATCGTCTGGGTGCCCAATTGGTTTTCCATCTAACAAAAACGTTTAATTTTGCTTTTTTTCCCTTTTTGTTTTTTGGTTGCTTCTAGGGGGTGGTTCCTTTCTCTAATTGGCAATCATCATCCAGCCAAACAAGTAGGTGGGTGGCAGAAAATCATTATCAAACAAAGTTGAAAGTCGATGTTTGGTTACATTGATTGATAATTCTAGTCCCTTTTCAAACTTAACCTTGGTATCAAAACATCACCTATCCGCTGGAGGATTGCCGTACCGAGCACGCAACCACCTGCGCCCATTGTCTCAACCTTGTCTTCACCGTCTGTGGATTATCACCTTCATCATCCGAGCATAAACACGTAATTAAAACCCGCAATTTAAATAAAATTTAAAAAAAAAATCAATTTTGAATTTTCAAAAATTCAAAATCAATATTTATAACGAGTTTAGATCGATCAAAAGAAAGTATAAGAAGCAAGTAGATAAATCGAGGGGGTATACTTGGGTGGAATATAGTGTGAGGGCTGCCCGTGGGAGAGGGAGATTCGCAGTCGGATATTGACGAAGTTGTGGACTTCGAAACGGTGTCGTTGTACTGCTTATTCACTGCGTAGTAAAGACCGAGAGCCGGTAAGGTATCGGATAATCGCTGATCGGCAACGGGGGAGTCAAAGCCAAAGCCTAGTTCGATGCAGGCCTTAAGCTCGTCGAGATCCTCTTCGGTGACGCTCTTGCTCCTTCGGTTCTTACTTTTTCCTTTACGCTTCAACCACGCCTCGTCTCGATAGATATCCGGCGACCATGATCGCTGCTTGTAGAGCGGCGACGGATTCACAGGCGGTTCTGGCACGAGCGGATGCGGCTGCGGCGGAGGAGGTGGCGGCGGGGGCAAGTGGTGGTAGAAGGGGAGGGACATGGCCGGCACAGCCCCGGAAGAGGGGGTGTGCGGAGGTCGGGGGGACCTCGCGCGGTATGGGTGGGATTTTTTCGTTAGGGATTTTTGACTAATGGGTGGGTTAGTGCGGGGAGAGGTGGGTTATAAGGTGATGCGGTAGAGGTGGCAAGTGGGACCCGTGGTAGAGGTGCCATGTAATTAGTTGGTTGTGAGTCATGATGACTTGGATTTTATTTTTCTTTTATCATTTTTTATAATTATTTCATTTCAAAGTTAGTGGTAATTTTTTAAAAAATTTCTTATTTTTAATATAAAATAATGTATATGTTTGTATAAAACAAGAACGTGGTTTTTAAATGAATCAAATTCACCACTTTAAACTTTTCGGTAATTATTTTTAATTTGTATGTGGTACGTGAGAAATTATTTTCCTATAAAATGTAATTTGATTTTTTTTTTACATTTAATATATGTGATTTTTTCTGAAATTTATTTTTTAATAATTATTATTTTATATAACATTGGTAAATCTTCTATAAACCATTTACACAATTATATACTTGTAAATATATATATATATATATGCTCTCTCGAAAAAATATATATACATATAAAACAAATCAAAATCATGAAAACAATTTTAATGTTCTATAAGATAATAGCATGCAAAACTAAATTTTATGTAAAATAAAATAAAAAATTATGGATAATAAAATGTTACAAAAAAAAAGTCCATAGTTATTTGTACGTAAATAAATTTATATATTTTTTGTAACTGAAACAATTTAATTAAATAAAAAGATATGAAAATAAAAAAAAAACATATAATATTAAACTAAGTGATAAAAATGACATTAAGAATAATAAAAACATATATATATAACTCTACAAGTGATTAATAATATGATACAAACCGGTCAGCTCTAATAAAATATATTAAACTCAATATGCAATATAATTTGAATAAACGTTATTCTTATCGTTAATATGGATGATATAAAATTATATTTTTGATGTGACTAATGATATTTTCATAATATACAAATTGAAAAATATAAAAAATAATAATTTATATAATTAATAATTTAGAGCAATTTGAGGACACTGTGGAGGTCTTTTTTTAAAAAAAAAAATTATTATCGCTAATTAGATTAACTTACTATTTTGCAATAATTTAAGTTGGTATCTTTTAATTTTAATGAATATTTAAGTTTACAACGTTTAAATGAAAAAAAAATATTTCGAGTAACAATTTTCAAATTCAAATAAGTTATCGATTGTTTTATTTGTTAAATAGAAATTTTAAATAAATGAAATAAATAATTAGGTAAAAATAAATTAATATTATATGTTAATTAAATGCAAATATATAGATTATGAATGATAAGGGTCCCACACGGTGTCCACGTCATAAACGGTTATGGTCAACTAACCCATCAAATTATTGACAATTACCTCACCCTGTTTTCTAATTAAACCACATTTAAATTAATTTTCCCCTCTCTTTCTCGCTAACCGCGTAGTATCTAAATTATTATAATATATATATATATACATAATAATTGACTCTCATATTTTCTTGAAACAGAGACTTTGCACAATTAACATTCCAGCAACTGCATAAGATTGACTAGTCAACTTATATATATATACATATACATATATATATGTATATTCTTAGTCAAAAATACCTTAATTAGATTATGCTATAATTAAAATTAATTTGTCTTTTATAATTAATTGCTTGGTAAATGCTAACGTGCGTATCAAAGACCACCTACAGCAACAAGTCCAATTATCAAAAAAAGCAGGAACGCTTCCAACAAATAATTCATTAACAAAAAAAAAAAAAAAGGTTATAAAAATAAATGCATATTTTTTTGTATTAAATAATTAATTTTGGTGCTTTGAAATCTTAAATTATGAATTTCAAAATAATTTATCCAATTAATTTGGATTGTTATATATATATATATGTATGTATGTGTGTATAACTAGGTAGGTGAATGCATGAAATAAAACAAAATAAAATAGTCGTGATACTTTAAGCATATACCAAGTAATGCTGACAAAGTAATGTAAATTGATCGATTGATTAATTAATTAATTAATTAATTTAGGTCCAACATACTTATAAATTAATTATTTTATAGCCGCCACCTTCTGCTTATTGCTTTATTTCATAAAACATTGAAGATGACGTGATATAAGAGGTGGCGGCAGCCTCTTCTCTCATCTCAATAATGTGATTAAGAATGTCACAAACACGCACAAATTACATATATATATATATATTATATATTAATATGTATATTTGTATGGATACACACACACGCATACAACAATAGCATATAATATGTATGGTTTGATTATTAATGTGTAATTTCAATTTTGTCGTAGCATATAAGAAATACACATGGCCGTGATGATACAAAAATAATTCTATATACACAAATTAATGCATGCATTGCTGATTATACTTATAATAATACGCTCA